AATATTTGATTATAAAATGAAATTTTTTAGAATTTTATTTGATTTGAAAATGAATTTTATTTTCTATCAATGACAAATAATAAATAATAGATGATTTTGAATTTATTAGATAAGATTTTACTCATATATTTACATATCATATTCATGAATTTATTCTATTTTATAATCACTAAAATTGTATTAAAATAAAAACATGATAAAAATTAATCTTCAATTTTTCATACTATTGTTGTCAAGAAATCTAACGTATCATAATTCATGATATATGTAAAATGCATGAGAAGATCATTTTATAATGTTAGAATTTAACTTAAATATGGTTGATATCATTTAGTACAACTTAAATTAGCTAGACTAGTTAAACCATTAATGCAAACAAGATTTATAGGGGCTTTTAATTACTTAAATTAGAGTTTCAATAAAGAAAATTTTGCAATTCTGTGGACTTCGTCTCTTTGAGGTGAACAACAAACTAGTTGTGTCAATTATATCTGGATGGTTTTTGAATGTCAAAGAAAAAACTTATGAATGTTATTGAGGTTATTTTAAACTTTAAAATATTATTAGAAAACCATCAAATCCAAAATATCAAAACTATTAATTTGGGTTAAGGATTTGATCTATTAAAATCAATATATATTCTCTATGAAATGAAGTTTTCACATTTCAGCAATTATTTTTGAAAAAATATCCATAATAATTTTTTTAACATCATTAAATTAATGGTTTTCAATTCTGAGAGAAAAAAAAATTCTATCCTTTCATTATAGAATTTATGCGTTTATTAAATGAGTGGTATAGCAATAGATATTCTGAAATACAGTATATCCCATAAAAAAATTATGGATTATCAAATTTACAGATTTTAGATTTAAATTTATCTGAAAGTCAAATGATGCTATTAATCTAATCAAAGATATAAACAAAATATTCAACATATATCGTGTGATCTTTTCAATTACAAATTTCATGTGATCTCATCTCAAATGAGTCTATCATATATTTAGTGCATCTTCTTCTTCTGGAATTTTTTTCTCTTACGAAGATAACATTTGATAACACAATTATGACATGTCAATTTATCTAGCGTTGTAAGGATAACTAAAGTCATAACTAGCACACAAAAGAGATATTACATCATGTATTTACTTCCACATGTATAAAAAACCCCCTAACATATAAATCACAAGAAATATGTTACCTCTGACAACTCTATTATCATACAACTTTTAGAATGTTTTGTTCATATTCTATCATTTTGTATGATGTTTCAATAGAGCTAACGTAAAAAATGAGTTGCTTATTAAATTTTCATAACTCTAAGAGTTATCAAAGTAACCAGAATGAATTATATTATGGTTTTTATCCTCTACAGCTAAATGGCAGACTCACACTGGCTGAAAAATAACTCAGCTCTTAGTAAGGTAAGCACCGCATTTCCCTCTTTCTAAGCTACATCTAGTTCCATCTCACCACATGTAAACCAACAGTTCCATTCCTGTCGCCTACGATGAGTTGTCATCGTTTCACTTTTCAGTCCATTCAAGAAAGATGACGCTCTCACCATTTCGTTTGTCTTGTCTACCAGACCAATGATCTGAAGAATTACAAGCATATGAATGAGATGCACCACGACACTTAGGCATTCCCCTAAGTGTGATAGATTGCATGCATGATCCAGTATACTCATCCTAGTGGTGTGTAACAACTTCGTGAGAGCACAAAGGCACTTCTGAAGCCGCCAAGTAGATCGTCTAGAGCAATTAAGTAACGAGTGGAATATGTGACTTTGGAATAATGTATGATGCATTCTAGAGGTTGGACGTAGACAGGTTGGCCGCAGACCTTATCAAGCCTACCTGGTTCATGAGATGATCAACATCAATGCGGTTCAGCTATATCAGTTGGAAAACCCTCCCAAATATTTTATTGAAATTAGCGGAAAAATAGAAACAATACCGAACAAATCCATACGGCAAGTGTAGTTCGTGACATCACTACTTATCATTCCGCACATCTACCAGAGTCCGGATTTTGAGGTGCATGCGTACTCTCAGGTGACATTCTCATGCTAGCGGTTAGCTCTAGAATCCAGCGGTGATGTGACGTGACGTGAAGATACTAAGCATTACCTTCGATCGACAAATTAGCCAGTTCAGTAATTTATACTTGTTCCTCCCTCACGAAATATTCTTCCTCGACTATCATCAACTGCAATCAACCTGCACCCATTTCCCTCTGCTTTGCTGCCCTCTACTACTCTTCCTCTTCCAAAATCAGGTGAATAAGGCCTTGAGTTGATTGATGGGTCTTCCGATCAACTTTCTTCTTTTACTGTGTCCGGGCCTGATTAAACTTATGTTACTCCCGACGTCCGACTTTGAGTCTTCTTCATGAGGTACCTATATTGCAGCAAGGGTAGCAGCCGGCGAGAGGCTGGAGATTGATGGAGCCGAGGAGCTCCGTGAGGAGGGTCGGTGAGCCCACACGTTATCGTGCATGGGTTGTCGAGGCTATGCATGAGTCACGAACGTCTCAAGTAGTAGATTGCACAACTCTGTACCATGTACACTCTCTACTGGTATTCGCAATATCGAAAGAGCACTGGCGAGGAGGAATTCGGTTTAGCAGGAAGCCTGAAACGAGGTTTGAGACGACTCATGCAATAACAGGCGAAAAGAAGTTTCTCTGCCTGCCTTCAATCATATTAGGATGTAAGTGTTGAGGACATTTGCTATTTGTTGTCTCTCTCCTACCGGCGCTGCAGAACTTCCAAATATGCCGTTATGACGGTAGGTAAATCGACTGTGGAGTCGGATCGAGTTTGAATCCTATGGGCAGAGGTTTTCTACTGTGCTGAAGCAGATAATGGCAGCGTGTGTATGATTGTTTCTAAGAAATTTGACTACTTCCGTACGCTCCAAAATTTGATCATACATCTGCCACCTACCTTTAAAAAAAAGTGTCAAACCGTTTCATTTTATTTGCAGCAATACTGAAAAGGTTATTAATTTTTACCAGTAACAATCGTACAAATCATCTTAGGACATAGCGAGTTTACAAATGGTTGCGGTTCTAAACATTACAACAACAACTACGCATAGTATAGGCATTTGACTTCTTCCTCGATATGTCTGACATGTGTGGGAATTTTTTGTGGCGAGAATTACCACACATGTCACTGGCGTTCACCTCGGTATTGAAAAAGTCACAATGTTTTTTACATCCTTTTCACTGATGATTGTTGGAAAGTTTAATGAAAGACAGCTCATCGTGGTGTCATTCACCTTTTCACACTCATCTTCAGCATCTTCAGCTTTAGCTCGAACCAAATTGATGTATCACCCTCTCACCATGGTACAATCTTCATCGGCTTTGGCTCAGAGAATAAGAGTTCATGTTGTTGTTGTTTTCCCGAGACTTCTTGGCATGGTGACACGATGATGGTTATAGAATGTTCGCTTGATTCAGGCGGGTCTTTGTGGGAGCAAAAAAGTCTTCTCACGATCGACCCATCTTCAAAGTACAGCATTTAATGCATCGGTCTTTTTGTGTGATTCTCAACAAAAATAGTTTATTATAGCACATCATGCTCCTTAGCCCGCCATCATTTATTCCATCGCTACTGTATGCGAGAGAGATGTCGTACCTCTGGTTGTCTATCTGTATCCTACTCTTTCCATTTTTTCCCCGTTTCTAAAATGTGCATCGTATGTTCATTTTGTGTCCACTTATTCGAGGAGAAAGCTGTGACTGAGGCATGTACGTTCTTTCATGAATACAAAAGCGTTATCTGGAATTATTTTTCACAGTATAGGAAAAGGTGAATGAGGACCATAGGCTAAGAGCCTAAGAAGCGAGATGACCCAGACCAGACCGTAGAGGAGGAACACAAGGCAAGGATAAAAAACAAAATCAACGGCTAGAAGCACAAAGAAACCAAAGAGTGGTCTCTTTGTGGTCATCACGGTTTTACTGGAGAAGAATCTCGCAGACACAAGTCGCTTGACTCTTCCTGCCGACCGAGTCTGGCGGTTCTTGACTATGGTGGTAGGACACTGGCCACAGGGATCACACAAATCACAAAGAGACAGAGGGTCATGGGAGTGGGACTCGTTGTTCAAGTTTCCGAACTGGGAAGAAGTAACACAGCCAAAAGGATGTGTAGGACCGGGATTGGATGGAAAAAGGGGCCCTGATCTATTCTGCTCGAGTAGAGCTGCAGCGATCCTCAGGATCACAACAGCTCCTTCGATGACGATGCCCAGTCAAAGAGGGGGGCACTGTGGCGATACATGCACAAAGCGAAGCTCTGCCATCGCCTGGGATAACGTCGACAGGGGTAACACCGAGCGCGACGAAGGACTGTACGGACGGGGAGGCGAGAATTTGCGCATCCGCGCGTCGGCCAGCGCTTCGATCGGGGCGCGGCGGGCCGTCGATCTTGACCCGCTTGGCGAACTGATGTGGTGGGGGGGGGGGGGGGGGGGGGGGTCACGTGGTGCCCGCGCAGGGTTTAGAGGACGCTTCCGTCCGAAGGGAGGTTTAGCAGGCGGGCGCTTCCTTTCCCTGACTGACTTGCTTTCCCCTTTGGGGAAAGCTTGGCGATCGCGATCACTCGTACCCCCTCCCCGGGCAGCAAATAAAAATGGAGCCATCACGTGTGGGACCCCGAGCCTTCGCCCATTGCTACCCACTAAAGATGATAAGAAAGACGTTTGTTGAATACTTTTGCTTTCCTCGAGCTCCTGTCGTTGACTATTCGGTAATGGGGCTTCCGGGCAGTTACACCTGTAGATTATGAACGGATAGTTTGCGCGACAGGACTGGGATTTGCAGTCGGACTTTGGAAACATGTGCTAATTACGCAACGGTCGAGTCGGAGAAAGCGAAGCGTGGATAGCGGAATGTACAGGATTCTCATGTCCTATATGCTGTGCCATGTTCCTCCGCATGTCAGGCTCCCTGTCGAGCCGCTTCCCATCGGTCTGAGTGTGATCTGAGTTCATCGGTCGACTGCTGCTGGCCCAGTATAAAGCCCGGCAGGCCCTACCGTCGCTAATCAATCATTCGATCCCGTCGGCAGATCTTCGAGCTTTAGATAAGCTCTGCTTACGGACTGAGCCGAAGGAAGCGAGCTCAGCTCGGGTCTGTTTAGTGTATAGGTGTAGTGGACGGGACGGCTCGAAGGGCAGGGCATTCTCTGTTCGAGTTGGGGGGAGCCCGAGAATTCAAGAAATCTGTGTGAGAAGCTTGTGTGTGTGTCTTCTGCTGTGGAACCACCAGAGCTTCCGAAATGGGGAAGGGAAGTTGTGTGACCCTGCTCCTCTTCATCGGACTCGTCTCGTCCGTGTATTCCTACGATCTCTACAAGGATCCTAGCCAAGATGTGGAAGCAAGAGTTCAGGATTTGCTGTCGAGAATGACATTGGCTGAAAAGGTTGGTCAGATGACACAGATCGAACGCGGCGTGTCGAATAATTCCGTGGTCAAGGATTTGTTCATAGGTACGGTTGAGTAAGATTCACTGTCAATCGTGTGGAGATTATTTTCACTGAATCGGCTGCTATTTCCTGCAAAAGTTGGTCCAGAAGATCATCGATTGCACGCTCATATGAGCGAAAGATTTTACAGTACAGCTTGTGAGCTCGCGCAGCCGAGCTGAGCTGCTGCTAAGCCATGCCAAAACCGAGCTTACGTGCCAGCTATAGTGTACTGCTGTCCTGTTTCATAGAAAAGCTACAGCCACTTTTAGGGGGCATGATGTAATCGTTTGCGTGTGGAATCCCAATCACAGGTAGCGTTTTAAGCGGTGGTGGTAGCGTGCCGGATGCGGGCAATACCGCTGAGGCATGGCAGGATTTGGTGGACAGGCTTCAAAATGATGCTCTTTCCACGCGACTGGGTATTCCTATGATTTATGGAATTGATGCTGTCCACGGGCACAACAATGTGTTTGGAGCAACGATCTTCCCACACAATGTGGGTCTTGGATGCACCAGGTAAAGGCTCGTTCGCAATTTGCGCATATATTCTCCGTCGCACACGATTGTCGCTTGCTGTAGCACGGAACTGTCAGCCTCAATCCTTCAGCTCGGAAGTCTTACAGCTCTAGTGCTCAGACTAGATGAACATGTCGTAGGAGTGTATGGCATCAGTGAACGCTAACTTGGCTTTGTTCCAGGGATCCGGATCTGGTGAAGAGGATCGGAGTGGCAACTGCCCTTGAAGTCAGAGCCACGGGAATTCCCTACGTTTTCGCTCCGTGCATTGCGGTGAGTGCTCCTGCCCGCCTACCTGCCGACGCTGTAGCTTGCCCATGTCCACCCACTGAGCCATGCCTGACGCATGGTAAATATTGCAGACTTGCAGAGACCCACGCTGGGGACGCTGCTACGAGAGCTACAGCGAGAGCACCGAGGTGGTCACCAGCCTCACGGACATCATCCTCGGTCTCCAAGGAGAGCCCGCCAACAAAACTGCTGGATTCCCATTCGTGGCCGACAGGTATGCCTGCCGTCCTGGTCTTACCATCCACAATCGTCAAATCTCTGCCCGGTCTGTGTGCTATCATGACGTCCACAGATTCCCGAAGACTGTACCCATTAGTCTCTCGTGTAGCTTTTTACTCTGCGTCTTCAGTCAAATGCACGAGCTGGCTCCACCCGAATGGAAACAAAATCTTGTCTTTCTTACGAGACTGCACTTTTCGTGCATCTGAACTTGCAGCTGACCTCGAGCAGCATAGGGTCAAGTAAATGGCAGTTTCTGAAACTGCCGTGTCGAAAGTTCTGTTTTTTCTCTTAATTTGATCTCCGTAGCTGCTTGGAGATGTGGGAAGCCGGTCAGGGAGAGCAATGAGGCGGGATTTGCTGACTTTTGACATTCTGCTTTGCGTGTCTGGTCGTATCCAGCTCGAAGGTTGCTGCGTGCGCCAAGCACTTCGTGGGAGATGGAGGTACTACTAATGGAATCAACGAAAACAACACGGTTATTGACTACAAGGGCCTTGTTGACATCCACATGGCACCTTACTTCGATTCCATTGCCAAGGGTGTTTCCACTGTCATGATCTCGTACACGAGCTGGAATGGAATGAAAATGCACGCCAACAAATTCCTCGTGACGCAAGTGTTGAAGTACAACCTCAAGTTCAAGGTAAACCCGACAGCTTCAAGACAAACTTGTACACCTGCCGGTAGTTACTTGCTGATTCACTTGAATGGCCTTCTTGATTTAGTGTCTACGCCGACTTTTATAATCCCCTCTTGCCCTCGTCAAGTGAGAAGTGGGTACAGATACCTCGAAAGAAGCAGAGGAAGTTACTAAGTTCGTCTGGACATTTGCAGGGCTTTGTCATCTCCGACTGGGAAGGAATTGACAGAATTACGAGTCCCGCAGGCGCAAACTACACATTCAGCATTGAGTCCTCTATCAATGCGGGTCTCGACATGGTACGTACATTTTAAACTTGTGGACGCAGGTGGTTTTGGCAGTTCGTTCTGATGTAAGATACGTTCGCATCACTCAGTCGAACCTAGAAGTGTTCTGTGGATGAGGCGAGAATATGTGGAGAGATCTTTGAGTATTGACTGTCTCTTCCCTCCCTACTTTAACTTCACAATAGAACACGTCGTATACAACATTATGCTAATCTACACGGGTCATTCTCTGTACAGATCATGGTGCCTAACAATTACCCCCAGTTCATCAATGGACTCACTGATCTCGTGAAGGGTGGTTACATCAACATGCATAGAATCGATGACGCCGTCACCCGAATTTTGCGCGTGAAATTCGCGATGGGTCTTTTTGAGAAGCCCTTGGCCGATCGCTCATACTCGAAGCATCTCGGTTCCGAAGTAAGTGTCAACATCGAGTTGCCCCAGCAGCTGCATTTTATGGCCAACGCAAGAGGATGAAACCAATTGAGTCGGATCGCTGACCTTAAATTTGGCTGCTGCAGGAGCACAGATCACTCGCAAGGGAAGCCGTCCGAAAGAGCCTTGTCCTCTTGAAGAACGGAAAGGAAGCGGGCAAACCTCTCCTACCTCTCAGCAAGACTGCAGCGAAGATCATTGTTGCGGGCAGTCATGCCAATGATCTTGGACGTCAGTGTGGAGGATGGACTATCACATGGCAGGGTGGGAACGGCACCACTACCAAAGGTAAGCGCTGCCGAAGGATGTAGTACCTTGCCGTCGGGTTTGTGCTGTAACTCCCCGTCAGTTCAATCGCTGCTCTGCAATTTGAAGATACTGAGTCAGATTCTGTTGGAATGATCCAGGTACAACTATTCTCGACGCCATCAAGGGTGCAGTGAGTCCAACCACCCAGATTGTGTATGAACCTTACCCTCAACCTGGGTTCGCCCAAAGCCAAGGAGCAGACTTCGCCATTGTTGTTGTTGGAGAACCTCCATACGCTGAGACCTTTGGAGATAATCTGAATCTTACCATTCCAGAGGCAGGCATTCCCACCATCCAAAATGTGTGTGGAGAAGTGAGGTGCTTAGTCATCCTTGTGTCCGGGAGACCTCTAGTCGTGGAACCATATCTGCCAGTCATGGATGCCTTCGTAGCTGCTTGGCTACCCGGCAGTGAAGGGGCCGGGGTCTCAGACGTCATTTTCGGAGACTACGATTTTGTTGGTACCTTAGCCCGCACCTGGTTTAAGTCCGTGGATCAGCTGCCGATGAATGTCGGTGATGAGAAATATGACCCTCTGTTCCCATTCGGATACGGTCTGAAGATGGGTACCCCTAACTCCAGGTAGAGTGCTTGACTCGATTCTGTCACCGTTACTCGAATCGGGCAAGATGTGCAGACTGTAGAAAAACATTAGAGTAGGATTTTGTACTCCAGTTTTGCGAGGGGGTTTCAGCGTAGGGAAGTTAGTCGTAGGAAACAGGATGGATTCAAGGGAGAATAATGCTTTCTTGACATCTGTTTTCACCCAGTTGTAGTTTATTATTGAAGTTACCCAGTTGTAGTTTATAATTGAAGTGTTCGATTGATCAAAATATTTCTTCTCGCAAGATCCAACGTTTCTCGAAGTGTACGATTATGATATGATGAAGATTTACTATTGATGAAGCTATGTTCGTTGATGACAATTTTGCTAGCGTTCATTAGTGGCGGCAGTATCAACTTTATGAGGAGGTGGAGACTCCTTGATATAAGTTGCTGGGCCGTGCCTCTTATAATTCATATGCTGAAATTAGTAAGTCTTCCAACTTCCACATATATACATACCCTACACCCTACACCCTACATACACCCTGTTTCATCACCTCTCAGAAAACTAAAAATCGTTTATAATACCTCCTTGAACCGAGATATTTTGATATATCCCTGTCTGTCTGAAATTATCGCTACACGTCTACTTCCATTAAACTTTTAATGCTCACTTGTATAACAATACCATTGGAATATATATATATATATATATATATAAATTATTTTCCATCGATCCTAATATGTTTGGTTGTGGGTTCGGTTGTCTTGTGTTAACAGTAAAAATTGTTGGCGATGAAGATGAATGATCAAGTCAAGTCTCTCTTCGAAATTTGGAGAAGGAGGGAGGAAGAAAGAAACTTGGTAACTATTCTAGAAAAGTACTGTTTCCTGCAGAAATGGATGCATTTCACTCTCATTCTTAAATCAGAGATTAATGCCCCCAGTTACGTAGTCTCTCTCTGCCTAAAATCTCTGCTTTCGGTTGTATACCGAAGATACGTGAATCAGTGCAAATGCAAGGGAAATGAGGATAGATTCAAAGATTTCTATAGTTCTCTGTGAATCTTTCCTCATCTTCAATCGTACTACAAAATCCAACGTAAAGATTTGTTCGAAAATTTTGTTGGTAACATCAACAACATGTAACACCTGAAGATGAATTTGACAATCTACTTTTTAAATTAAATACATGGTCAAATGGAAAGAAAAAAAAATTAATTTCTATTGAAAACAGATATATTGGTCATTCATCAATGACTTCGGGTTATAGGTTCTGTACGGTGAGTAATAAACTTTGCAGGTTTACTTATTTCCCATCTTAGTCAAAGTTGACTCAGCGGCAAGAACCATGCTTGCCATCTCAATGTGCGAGAAGCCACGTCAAAAGCCGAGTAGGTGGTACGAGGGATACTCAGGAGTGAGAGGTTTGTAGGCATATAGAGTACATCCTGTGCAAATGAAGAAGAGAAGAAGATCTCATTGACAAGAGGAACACTCGTCTGTCAGCGAGGATGACAGGGCAGTCCGCTTCTTTCAAGCCGTAATATGGGGCGACGATTTGACGAAGATATTCAAGATTTTTGAAATCCTTCCAAATCGAAAGAACTACATGCCGATATCTCAGGAAGAGAGACTTATTGGGTTTGTAAGACGACGGCTTATATATTTAGGGGCCATCTGAAACTCGAGAGGGGTTTTCTTCTTCGAGTTTTCAGTGGGCGTACGTGCTTGTTGAGTAGAGACGGGAGGTAGAGAAGGGAATGTTTGTACATAATTAAATTGGAAATTTTCGTGAGTCGAAAGTTTCGGACAGGTTGCGTACTGCAGCAATTTGGTCACGAGCTGTGGTTGAGTTTGCGGTGGCAATGTTCGGAAGCTCATAGGAGAGACAAATGATCTGCCCGTGTGCCCGACATGGTTGACTATGTCTCCTTTTGGGTTCGTCGGTTGTGCATTTGACACGGTGTAGTTTGACTTGCGTAGTCTAGATTGACTCTTGATCCGGATAATCAAATGGTGCTTCTTGCGTGCAAGGGCAATCACTATCGACCGAGTAGGAGGTTCAGATAGCAGTCTCCATGGCAAGTGCAAGGGTGACAAAGTTCTATGGCCCTGTCTATCTGGTCAAGTGCATTCTGTGTGTTTGTACTTTTTGTGCACGCGTGTTTTGTAGAGCAGACTCAGTCGTTCCAGGTCATTTATATTTTAGTACTGCGCTTGTCAGTCGACAAACCCACCTCATATCCATAGCATCAAACTTCGGAAGCTTCTATGAGCATTCACTACCAACTTTTCACGAATGCGCCACTCAGTCTTGTATATCTTTTTTTCACGAGCACCCTTTGGACCACATGCTCAGATTTGACGCGGCTCCTCCACTGCGTTTCTGGCGGGCATGGTTTCTCCTTGGCTGTTGCCGGGAAACCATCTTTGACGAAGATCGGAAAGAAGTAAACCCGTGAGGTTTACTACTCGTCACACAAAACCTAACACCCAATGAGTGAGATATAATTTGCCGCCCCCTAATGGTAGATACATGTTATGAAAGTTACAAATTAGTGAAGTATAATGTGATCAAAATCTCAATTATATGCATAATAGCTATTATTTTCACATTTCCAATTGTAATTTACTTTTTTCACTTTACATAAAAATCAAAATTAAATCGATTCATTTTTGAGGTAGTTTCAACTGAAAATATTTCTATGATTATTTTTATATTTTTTCAATTCATATCAATAGTTTCATGTATAGAAAGATAATTATCAAAATATAGCATAAAGTTAAAAGTCTGATCCCACGAGTACATAATCAACATCAGAAATCTAAATAGTGTCATAAATTAACATTCTATTGAAGAATTTTACTTCTCAAGCACATGTCACTCCGAGAAATCCTGCAATTGCGAAATCCAAATGCAACACATTGCAAGGCGTAATCACTCTCGAATCTTGCAATTCATCCAATCAAAACCTAGAGAACTCGATCGCGACTCTGCACTTGGTATTCAGGGGGAAAAATTCCCGAAGTATACACTTAGTCGGCTGCACCGAGTTCCAATTAACAAATTTGCCTAAATTATGAGCTAGCCATGCACTACTCAAAACATCCGAATTGGACTTTCTACTTCAGATGCAGTATCTTCGAAAATCCAAAGTAACTTGCGCACGGTGACAAAACATTCAATTTCACAAACACACGGAGAAATGCAAATTGAAAACTGAGAAACTAACTAATAAAAATGCCCTCCGAAGTCATAAACTTGGGTCTCTTTATTCCTAACTAACTTGTTGAGATGTCACTCACAACTGTTACCACGCCCGTTGAACTCCTATCTGTTCCTAACCTATGCAAAACAGTCAAAATCTCTAACTCTAAGTTCTACTTCGTCTACTCAAAACCGGAGAGGAACAAATCTAACTTCCTATTTAACTGACGATGTTCTCCTACACTACAAGCGATCAATTCCGTCACAAGACGCTCCAATTTCCGCAGCTTCAACCACTTGATCGTCTCGATTTGCCACACTACATAACCGCAAAGACATCGGTTTACCTTCTCGATCAAGGCCTCGTCTGTCTGACCTGTTTACTGCTAATTTTTCTCCTCCGCTTCCAGCAGTTTAGCTTCCGTAGCGATCAATTGCTTCTCAACTACTGATCGTTGAGATTGCATCTCATTGCGATCAGCCTCCAACTTCTCCACCTGCTCTAACTCCGAAGACCTAACAGCTTCGCATTCTGCAAATTCTTTCAACTTCATTGCTAACTTCGCTGCATATAACTAAATTCTCTTCGCCAGATCTGTAATCAACTCATCTATGCGACGCGATTCCTCATTGAAGGCCACCCTAAACGACTTCAATCTATCTCGAAGGTCGACTGTCGCTCTCTGCGTGGTCTCAATATCACCTCGTAGGCTTGCATTTTTGCAAACATTCTCTGAAGACCTTCAAAGTTTCTTCTCTACGGCCAAACTATTTTGGACTTTAACACACTCCCACTTCAACTCTCAATGTCACTTCTCCTTCTTCTGCAGCGTAGTCCTCACCGTCGCGCACTCAGTGGTCAAACTCTCTACTCTCTTTGCTGTCTCTGTAGATGCGGCCACCTTTGGCTCCGTCCCACTATGCATTAGCTCCACGTAGGATCCCACGATTGACGTCCCGGCATACTTCTCCAACTTACCGTCCAAATACCGGAGCAAGGTAAGAATCTGCTCACTCAGCATGTGCGTGGCACTAAGTCCGACCGACTTAGGTTTTTCCGCCAAGGGATCTTCGTCGCACTGAGTCAAAGGCGCTGGCTGTTGCTATGTGATCGTTCTCTCCACATCTTTCACTACACAGTCTACTAGCTCCTCCAGCAAAGTGAGGTCCTCCGCCGTGTCTGATGACTCCGCCGGTTCCTCCAAACACATCTTCCCCGAAGGCGTATACACAAGGGATTGGCCTGAAGTCTCTAGTTTTCGGTTCAAGGTCTCCACCTCAGTATCAACTCTCTCCTCTTCTACTTCCTTCGGCGGATCTTCCACTGGTACTGCCGTAGGTCTTCACTCCGAATGTCAAAGATACTTCTTCTTCTGTTCCAGTGACTTCCGCTTCTAGCTCAGCCCACTCCGCCGAAGTGATTCGACTCTCAGAGACGGCTTCACTTCACTCGGTGCTATCTTCTTCCTCAATCAGCAGTCGTCTCGTCTTCATCTTGCTGTGAGCACGTACATTCGTTGACCTTAACTTTGTGGGGACAGAGCTCCGAACGCGAATTCCGGCATGGTGATCGGTCGTCTTTGAAGTTGCAATTCGTTGTAATTTCCGCTTCTTTTGCGGCCGTTACTCCACATTATCTCTTGACTTGTCAATCTTCGACAAAATCAACGCAAGTTGAGTGTCGTTCTCCTTTGTGTCCACCTTGTTATCACCTCGTGTCTCGTCTCCGTCCATTGCATCTGTCTAGAGCGAGAATCTCTTCTGCTCATGTGTGATCAATACCCCATGCCTCTGTAGAAATTGATGAAGAAGTGAGATAAGTAATTCATTGATACTTCCCAAGATTCACCAATGTGTTGACGTGTGGTGTACCACATAATCTGCGTCCAGTGAATACATTCTACTCTTAACGCGCGCTCGATGAATCCCACCTGCCAAGTCGTCATGTAGGTCATTTGCAAAGGTCAAAGGATGTGCATTAGAGCTACTGTCACATTTCTTTGCAATCAATCTTGATACCCTATCGTTTGATTTTTTTGCCCGAACGCGGTTTCTTGAATAGCGTCGCGTACGTCTTCTCTTCTGCTCGCGTCACCTTCACACTCTCGCTATCGAAGGTGAAATCCTCATCTTCTCCTACGCACGGTTCAGGACTTTCTTCCAATCGTATATTTGCCAAAGTGCGGGATTGACTCGGAGTTCATTAGCATCTGGCACGCGCTTGCCATTGCACCATTGCCACGCACATCCAATTCCAGCCCCACAACAAGAAATCAAGTCTGGCAACAATCAACTAGTTGCGATGAGCTCTCAATCCGACTTCATGCACCTTCAAGGCCGTCAATTGAATTCCTCCAACTCGCTCCATGGTTGCTTCCGCAATTTTTCACTCACCAATATCGTCGTGCTCTCAATTTGCAAATACGCTCTCGTGAAATGTGGGCACTGAGTTTGCGCCCCTCCTAATGTACTCCGCCGCCTCAACGGCATTGCAGACGAGTGCAAATCGAAGGAGCCAAGGTTTGAATTTCTTTCCCGTGAGGCGCCATCTTGTACTTCAATGAGGATTTCTCCCCTAAGATACTTTGTATGTAACTCCGAAGACGCTAACGCCGAAGTCCAAAGACTCTTCGCTGAAGTTTGTACTATGCATTCGTCAAAACAGGATCTTTGCTGCATTCCTTCGTAGCTCGGGTCTCCCCTATCCATTTTTCACGTTCTTAGGCTCGTTGGAACAAGCACGCCAAGCTTAACCTACTATGATACTTTCTATTCCTTACTCTTACTTATCATTTACTCTAAAATTCCCTAATTACTCTGCTTCTTATTATTATTGTTCTAAAAGTTTAAAATTGCTAGTCCTTACTTCCCAAACTTCCTTATTTTCAGAAAAAACTACATAGCCACATTTCATCTTTATCTGTTACATGTTTATGTAACATTAAAAAAATGTTGGAGTTTGAACATCAATGGGATAAAACTATTTGTTACAATCATTTTTGGATAGTGAAAATATAGATTGATAAATCAAAGATTTTATGATATTTTCAAATCAGATATATTTGCATTATGTTTTACTGTATTATTGTTTTATTTTATCTGGTAACGACGACCCGTTGATCGTGACTATATGCCGTCAGCAAGAAGAGCGGCCTTCTTACAGCCACATTTTTGGCAATAGGATTTAAGTTGTTTCTGAATATATTTTTGTTGCTATGGTTGTAGTTAAATACATTATATAAAACAATTTATTGTGTTGGATACATTGTTATGTATTTATAAAATATAATCTTGGTAGATGTCCATAGACATTGTAAATGATTTGAAATCTAAAGATATTTAATTAAAAATTACAAATTATAGTACATTTTTAAAAATTATGCATAGTTGATAAAAACATACACATGTTTGTATACAAATTTCAAAGCACAAGCTCATATCAAAATCAAACATGAGCTGGACTACCACATCAATTTGCTTGACTTGATATCTTTCATTACAAAACTCAATATCTAGTTTTTTCCCTTTTGATTGGTAGTTTGAGTTAGTACCTAAAATAAGTATTGAATTTCCTTCATGAGCAAAATCTTTAATATGCATGGAACAAACATATCATGTTTGAATTCACTTTTCAAGAATTATAATTTTCTGTAAGTATTCAGATTTATGTCAATCAAAACATGAACTCATAATTACAACCTTGAAATAAAGTATGCTATCATATCATGCTCACTGAAAGAATCAAAAATATAGAATTTTTAGGATAGAAAACTTTAATCCATAACATGTACAACCAAAAAACCCTCTAGTTTCAACATGGAAAATTCATTAAAAATCAATACAAATAAATTGAAGTTTTAAATCAGATGCAAGATTTCAAAATGTCACATTGTCCAATATAAATTGTACTAAACATGATCATACTGTAAAATTTGTGTTATTTTCTTATAAATTATACCTATCAGTCCCTTTTGGCTTGTAAAGTATAAGTTTTCATGATATGAGTATTTCAATATTGTAAAATAGAGGTTGATAAAATACTTCTTTTCAGTGACATAATTTTAGTCTTTTAGTAAAGGAATATCTTCGTAACTTAAAGGCATCCGAAATGCATATAATCAATTAATTTTTGTACAGTTTTCATAAAGAATTAACTGTTAATAAACATGTTTATTTTCAACGTATCAAATTTTGTTATAACATCATTTCTTTTTAAGTATAGACTAAAATTTCTATGACACTTCTCATTACAAGCTAAGCCATGATACACGATTTTAAACTCCCCGCTTCTTTGATGGTCAATTATGTAACGACGGAGTGGTTTAAAACCTCTTGTGTTTTTCGTCACCTTAAGGAACAATGAAAGCTATGTGAACACGTTCAGATGCAAACTAACTAAGCATTAAGGGCTGAAAAAAAACATTGACAAGTTAAATACTTATACAATTATCACCGTGATATATCTGCATACAAAACATGGATCATAGAATCATGAGGGGACGTGCAACAAATCATCATGTAGAGATATTGATTCTCAATTCTATCGAAGATGTAGATATTTACTTGATGGATACCATCAGAACTAAATTGAAGTTTCGATTTACCCTATGTGACCCCACTGAGTATATAGCAGACATGTTGTAGTATTAAAAGTGGAACTATAACAGCTATATTATATTCGTCATCCATCATTGAATCTCCCAAATTTCCACTCAAACTGGACCCTTATTTGGCGAGACTTCCCCATTGCACCAAAGTTGTAAAATTATCCTACAATCGGATTCACAAGTACTTGATCCTTGTGAATTTCTTTCACAGATTACACAAAGTCGCCACATATTATCAAAGTTGTAAAATTATCCTACAATCGGATTCACAAGTACTTGATCCTTGTGAATTTCTTTCACAGGTTACACAAAGTCGCCACGTAATATCGCCTAGTCTAATTTTCGACAGCTCAAAACCTCTAACCACTTGTGACAAAGTTCAACTGTCACAAATCTCCACTAAAATTAGCATATGATAAGAACTTTAGTGTACAGCAGCAACATGTTTTAGAAATTAATGATTGATCAAATAAGTAAATTCCTCTTGAAGATGAAATAAGACAAAACTCGACTGGTCGCAGGAACAGACGAACGAACGTTTGAGACCAGAAGCCATGACCGCCTCGCCCGGAAGCTGACGCGGAGCCGAGTTCAACTCCCGCGCTTTTGGCCGCTGTTCGTACTGCAACGGAAGCCGTCCTACAGTCCCCTCCAGCGTGCTGCGTGCTCAGAGTGTGAGCTCCGGGATACCATCTTCGATCGAGTTTTGGGACATGTTCGATTTCGATCGTGTAGTTGTGGACCAAATGTTGATAATGAGTTACTGCAAGTTCGGGTTGGTTTAGCCTGAGCGATTGTACCATGTACGGAGGTTCTGCTCGTTGTACCAGGAGCTTTCAAATGCAGCCAGAGATGGAAATAAGAGATTTGGTTCAATTGTGGATTCTGAATTGGTCACGATCAACGACTTGTCGCTGAAGGAGGAGATGGATTTCTCGACAATTTGACAATGTGAATTCATGCCAGTGCAAGCATGGATAAGTTTGTCGTTCGCGCGACGGACCCTTCTGATCTGCCTCCAGGCAATCAACTGTCCATCAGGTCTGTCTGAGTTGTTTAGAAGGCCTCCGTGAGTTTCATACCTTAGAGAAGTCAACTGGATTAAGCGGAAAAGACATTCGCGTGCTGTGAGCGCTCTTAGGCTCCAATCAAGGACATGGGTCCTCGAAACTCTGTTCGTTTGGTTCTGAGGTCCATTCGTTATGTTGTCACTGTTTTCACTATCTAAATTTTGGTTTTCTATGGTTGTAGACCGGAGCGACCATGGTGCTCTACAACGGGGTGTAAAAAGAGAGTGACATTGCTGTCTGCGTACGAAATTCATGGCAGAATTTTGCCCGCCTTTAAGCCTTTTCTCACTAGACTTATGCTCAGTTCATACTCAGAGGCAAGTGTGAACTTTTGTAACATTGGCCTGGAATGCAGCGACGTGGATGCTTTCTTTTCCGTATGTGCAGTTGGAAATGTATCTTCTCACAGTTTCAGTTTCCTACTCGAAGTCCTAACGCGATTATCATGATCGTGCAGTGTTCTATGCATTGCACCGTCCTTCACGCGTTTGTTCTTTTAGTGTTAATCTCTTCAATTGGGGCTTTTTTTGACTATGATGACCTATAAGATCTTGACCTTTGGATTTGAGATGCTCCAAACATTGAGGTCCATATGTCAAAGTGGGCATGTGTATCAAATCGTAGTTCAAATTGTACTTCGGAGATAGATCAATCTCTTGAAGCCACCGCTTAGCAGGAATCAGTTTGTGATTGTATTTCTTGTTCATTGTCCTAAAATTAATCCATGCATCCGGTTCGAGCTCTATGAAATAATACCAAGGCAGAATCGGATGATTATGTATGTCTGAATGGAAGTGGACTACTCTTCTTATAACGACTTTGTGCTTGCAGTTTGCAGCCCTCAATCAGGATCAGAAACATCCAAGTTGGTTTCCTTCTCGACAACCTCGCACTAACGTCATCAGGTACCCTTAAGTACAACAACCTCAGTGCATGAAAATTCACGATCGCGTGTGAATCTTCTAGCACGGCTCCATTTTTTTACTTAGATGCAAAGCTTGACATTGTATATCACCTTATTCCACTATCTCATAAACAATATATTGGGTCTGTGCAGCCCCTTCGTCACGACTATTGACTTTGATTCAAAGGCAAGTTACTTACATGCATTACTTTGTTGCTCTTGGCGTCTACAATGTATACCTCTTCCATAATCCTTTCACTCATTTAAATGGAATCTGAAACTCATCAATTTGCATATCATCTCATACATGTAGATTCAAAAGGCTCAACAACAAGAGTCGGTTTACTTGTCCTCATGATTTGATCTTTGAAATTATTATATTTGAGGGCGAATCGATTTCCCTGACCTGACATATTTTTTTTGGCAGGGAATCTATCTAGCCTCCGGAAATAATGCTGGCCGGCTCTTTATCCATGAGTTTGAAACTTTATATTGCAACGCTGAAAAAGGTCTCTTGCTCAAAAGTCGAACGAATGCTATTTATGGAATTATTTCTTAGTAAGAAATGACGATAAGTGCGTTGTATTGGGTCGGCTTTGTCCTGACTGCAGGACCTGTATTTGCACAGATGTTAACTTTGCCCAGTATTTGCATGTTGGTCCTTCTCTTGTATGGTGCACGTAACATGAGGGGCCAGTTGTTGACTATATCTCTCCGTTGTATTTATAAGAACATTCAATCTGTACAGGTTCAGATCAAAGTAGGGCTCTCTATCTCCGCTGCTTTCCAGTGGACAAGGCAGTTCAAGCAGTAAGGTGGAACCCGTCAAACGAGGATGAAGTAAGAGAATCAACGAGTATAAAGTTGGAGGCCTAAATTCCTGTATTCTGCTGACTTCTCTTGTTTTGGTTTTGGTATTGTACGATTCTCTAGAATCAGTAAGTCGAAATGGGAGAGAGCAGTGCTATTTTTTTTCTTGCAAATCAACCTTTCTTCGGTGAATTGGAATTCTTCATCATCCTTCTTGTATATGGAACTTGCATGTGTCAAGTAATTTTTTGTCATGTGTTTCAGGTGGCTTGTGTAACAACTGGGAGTAATCTAGTATACTTCTATGACGTAGCATGCGAAACCTTTTTACCGTCAGAGGTGTCTTATCTCAACCATAACAAAGAGGGAAACCACAAGAATCTTCGTTTGCCCATTTATCATGGCATACACTTCTTTGCAGGCATTTCTGCTCTCTTAAATGGTTCAAATATTTTTCATATCCAAAATCAGGAAATAGTTCTTTGTTTTTTTATGGTGGATTTCCGTGTTCACCATTTTATGGTCTGAATACGTGAGGAATAATTGTAACTGAATTATTGTTCGTGCTGCTTATCTTCGTCATTCCACTCTGGGCTCTAGCATTTTCTGTTTCTTGAGGACTCATCCTTGAAGAGCACTCCAATTGTTCAGGTGCTGAAAGTAAAGTCACTTTCCGGCTGGGGAGAGTTGGGGGGTTCCGTAGGACTATTTGACCTCGCATTCTTCAAGATCGGAAAATCAAGGTAGATATCATGAGTACTACTTTTGAAAGCTAGCAGATCTTTGAAGATTGTGCATTCACTAATTTGTCATTCATCTACTTGGATGAAAGCATAGCAGGTACACAAAAAGAAGGAAACCAGAATGAAAAGTTCTGTAAATTAGTATCTCTGTCTTCTCTGTGTCGGAGAAGAAACTTGTGAAACTGCAAGGGACTAAGTGGGAAAGATGTTAGAAGAATTCTTTGAATGAAAATTGAGAAATTGAGTATCGAAGTAGAGTATTGTTTGTCATAAATCTGCATTGTCCACACAAACTATATGTCCTGAGGTATGCATAGTAGTCTCTTTACGTGTCTCATCCTAAACAACGACTAACATAAAGATGGTCTGATAAAATCTTCAGGGTTTTAGACCGGGATTCGTGAAAGGTGTATACCTCATGTACTTCCCTCTTTCAAAACCTTCTGTTTGATAGAAACCTATTTTTCTTCAATTCACATGCCCTCCAGTACTTCTACAAGTAGTGGCTGAACATTTACGTGACAAGGGTTCAATAATTTCACGAGGTAGATAGAAGATTGATTTTTTCCACCTTGATAACCACAACATTCATGGCAAAAGCAGTCTGAGGACCGTTGGATGATGGTTTGTTGACAAACACTGAAGTGTCTACGGAAAATGTGGTTAGTTTTCAAAGCAGCCGATATGGCCTCAAAACAAGATCAAGTTTTCACGTGTTTTGATGATCACAGACTTCTTGAGATTTTGCTTTTCCATAATATGGGGTAGTGGAGCTCATCCCGGAACATCTCAGATTTACACTCTTCCTTTCGAATATACTCGGAAGACCTTCATCTCTGGGTGGGTTCCTAAATTTGCTCCATCCATCTTGTGCCTATGAGTCATCTGTAATGTAGACTGTTATCGTAAAGCGAAGGAAGTCTCCATCACATACGTTTCAAGATCAAATAGTGAAGTCGGTTTTTGACTTGAAGAGCCTTCTTGCTTGGCAGACACTCTTGTGTATCTAGAGCACTAGAGGTGAATTAAACAATAACACTGGGCTAGGCCAGTTCATGACAAACGCATATCGCAAAAATGTAGAGTCTCGACAGACTTTGCCTGCAATTATGGTGTCATCTCAATAGCCGGTGAGGATATCTCAGTGTTTACTTCTAGCGTTTCATACTCGTCACTTTTTCAACCTTTCTGATAACTTTCACTGGTCATTCATGCATTAAGGATGTGTGCGGGAGGGACAAAACTTTGATCGAGTGCAGTTAGGCATTAGAAAATGTTTTCTGCTTCCAGCTTTGCATCTTTAACTTGACATGTAAGTTGCTTTTTTTTAAGCGAGCACTGACATCTCACAAGTTCGAGGTGAAGAGCTTTCAGGTCTACTGCACTAGAACAAGCAACATGTCTGCAAAACTGTGCTAACTTTTATTTTGACACTTCACATATGTGAAACTCACCGTTTTCATGCAGACTTGTGGCTTGTGGAAAAGATGGCCGAGTGCACCTCTGGGATCGACGAAGCAGTAAGGCGTCCTATGCGACTATGACTGTACATGACACTGAACCGAGCCGAGGATTGAACAGCATTCAGTTGTCTAGTGATGAGCAGGTATAATTCTGCAACTTTAAGTGCTCTGAAAGTTGAAAAGTTAGATATCTCAGCATGTAATGCGGACATGAAGTTCAACAACTTAATTGTTGATTCCTTCCCACTCTAATGTAACTTTTGCTGAGAGCAATGGATGCTGAGGCTACTCAAAATACGGATCAAATTGTTCCACGGTGTGGAACTTAGTGAGGAGGTAATATTTTGCACATTTCAGATTCTGTTTATGGTGTATTGAGCAGATGCTTTATTGCGGAAGTGAAGGAGGATATATTTACTTGTGGGATTTGCGAGGAGGGAAGAATTCGGCCTTTGTATCGTCTGCTAAGGTAAGCCCGCGTGACATGACTCACGTCGTGTTTTGCTTCTGGCTTGATACTATAGGGAAAAATTCTGAGGAATTCAGTTTACCATTTCTTGAATATAAATTGTGTGTAAACTTCTCCTTGAATACCGCTTGAAGTAGATGCAGCCATCAATATCCTAGTCTTCTCGTCTTTCAGTTGAGGCCAAAGCTAGACTCCCAAATTGGATGTTCTGCGATCTCATTGTATCATGTCCAAACTAAGAGCTGCCATAGGTTTCCGATGCTAATCTATGGAAAGATTAATCCTTTTTTCTGGACATTTTTCTTGTAAGCTAACACAACGTGCTGCCATTCTCCTAGAAATAGTTTTGATCTCAGGACTCAGAATCTCCACGCATGTCTTTCACATTAAATAGTTTTTTGCAAATATTTGATCACGTATTCCTAGTCACGAGCATCTATAGAACAAAGCCTCACTCTCTTTATTTGATTCGTTTTCTCAGGATTATAACCAACCTGTCGCAGCTATAAGGATTGAAAACCAGCTGAGAAAGATTTCCAGCCTAAGGGTCTGTATTTATCTCCACATTAATATCGTCGAAAGTTTATCACAGAAACAAGATCATCCCCAAGTTATTCCCCTCTTAGAGTGAGCTGAAAACTACGAAGTGTCCGTCTCCATCAATGCTTAGGGGAAAACAAAGTTGTGAGCTTGCAATATAGAACCATTAGGATTTGAGATCATTTGTATGTGTAGTTGTATTTTGTGCTCGGATTTCCGTTACCTGATAACACACATGTAAGATAATAGACATTCATAACAAATCGAGTTTCATGTTGTGATGTGCTCACTCCTTACTTCTGTTCCTGGACTTCTACTATTTCATCCGGTTTGGTAGACAAACTATGAGCTCAAATAAAGCAAAAGTATAAAATAAAAATCTGTTAGTTTAGACTGCTGTGCTTTGCACAGCAGTCTAACACTATACGGAAACTTGAAAGATTTGATTACAGTGCATTGTAATCTTAAGAACACAATTGCATAACTCACTGCAGTATTTTGGCCAATTAAATTTTTTTATCTGTACGTGTGTAGGCGCAGACGGATATTTGCCCTAGCTCGGTTGATGCAATATCTTTGAATCCAGCTTGTGAAAAGCAGCTTGCTTTCCATCTCAGCTGTGGCTGGTACGCTCCCCATCTCCAAGTGTCTTTAAAACCCCTAATCTGGTTTGTGCATTTAGGTTGCAAGTGGTGACCTTAACTGTGTGAAGGGTAGTACAGGTGGCAAGAACTGGTTCTGTCTGAATTTATTTTCTAATCTGACCATCGGTCTTAGCACCTGATGAGCCTGAGGTGATTATTTATCACCTCAAGCTCATCGTGAGAAACATCTTTCGCTAATGACGTACTTTACCTGTTATGTAGGACTCCCATTACATTTACCATTTACCATTTACCATTTCCTAATTGTAGCTTGTAGATCGCTTAAGTAGGCAGTGGTAAGTTTCACATGACTGTTCATTTTCGTAACTTGCTAATTGTTCATTTTGAATGTTCGATGTGGCAGGTCAGGGGTTCTAGATATGAGTACCTTAGACGTGACTCATATCCACTGTCCACCTCCCCCTTGGTCGTGAGTTCAAACAGCATGTCCTTGTTGCCACGTTTACATCTAGACATCGTCTTCAGATTTTACTTGTCAAATTGACGAGTAGTTTGCCTGTATGCTAGCTGAAGTAGTCGAATTCCACAGATTTTATTTCTTATATATTGGAGGGATGAAAACAGACATATAATGAGTGACCAGAGGGATTCGATTTCAGTATTTTCAACTCCGGGAGTTGCAACAGTTCCAACTTTTCAACCTCGGACCGATGTTCGTCGGAGGAAGCCCGTGTGGCTAAATACCTTCCCTGTGAGTAATATCTCTAGACTTGTGTACAACTTAGATATGGGTATGTACATATGTCTCAGATGGTAAATATGTCTCATAATATTTTCACTTCTTCAGGTGTATGCTGTCGGATCTGGATCAGATTCTAAAGTTCATATGCTTGATTTCACGCTTGGGCCCAAGTCTCGATATTCCTTAGACCATTACCGGTAAGAACCACTCTAAACACAATTTATCGACTGATTTAAGCTTGGAGGCAGTTCAAAAATGCTTTGTTTCCCTAAGGGAAAGGACCTCAGGAGTACGTGTAGTACTCTGTTCCAGTATCGATGTTGTTAGATTTTGTTTTGCCTTTTAATTTTTTCTTTGCATTTCGAGTCACATGTTACCATGGTGGAGTGCAGATCTAACAGTGAGAAAGAGTGGCAAACAGAACTACGGACCTCAGAGGCAGTGGTTGCCATTGCATCTCACCCTTTGAATGATACTTTGGTTGCTGGTTGCGAGGTATATATTTCTACTCTCGTCAGAAACCACCACATTATTTATTTTTAATAATTTTAATTCTTCAGTCGATATTCTTTAAACATCAATAGCATATCATTTCTCGTCCTGTGATTGGAACTTATCATCTTTGAATGAACACGAACTAAATGAAGAGGGACCCTATCTGCAACAACGTGGTAAAACGAACTTTCCCAGGAGAGAGCTTGGATGAACAAAGTCCTACTTCGTGATGACGCAGTTGCACTTTTTCTTATGTGTTTGACAAGAGATTCCGAGTGTGTGTAAATTGCTGATTCTGAGTGTTTATAGTAACGAGTTGCTCATCTAAGCACACTGCCAGTACCTGAAAACTTTTGTAGACTTCCGATAATCACAGTAAAACTAGTCAATCTGCATTTTTCCTTTTCAAAATCTGAACTTGTTTTCAACACTGATTTGAAATGCGAGGAATTTGGCACAGGTATGGTAAAACCTGTAGTGCGTCTCAGCTTATCTAGAGGTCTGCTTCAGACCTAGTTTGAACAAATACAAGCAGTCAGATGTGTTACTTCGTACAAGCTCTATCAACAACTGGAATCGTTAAGTGCCTATGCCCTAGACATGTTTTGTTTACCAGTTGAACGAACAGACAGTGAGTTGCAGTCTCAAGTTTGCATAAGTCCATCTTTCCCCGGAGCACTCTTGATATTCTTTTGTAATTTAGGATAAACTTGTCAACAGATGCTTTGATTTATGCATAGATCTTTCTACTCTGCTAAGGAGGTGCACTTGTCCTTCATTGAGTCTCAAGTTTGCATAAGTCGATCTTTCCCCGGAGCACTCTTGATATTCTTTTGTAATTTAGGATAAACTTGTCAACAGATGCTTTGATTTATGCATAGATCTTTCTACTCTGCTAAGGAGGTGCACTTGTCCATCATTGAGTCTCGTATGTGGTTGATTGTTCAAGTATATAGAGAGATGTGAAGTCCATGAACCTACAATGCACTCACTAGCTTCTTGTTGCAACACTCCATTCACATCGCTATACTGAGTCCTTGAATTCGCTCACGCTAGTCTCAGATTTGGATTGGACATAAAGTGGATCCAACTGCTTCTATTGTATACATTTGGAATGTTAGGTTGTGTGCTTCGTGTCGTCTTCCGCCTCCCTCCCTCTCCTCCGTCGGTGCTATGCTTTGAAACAGTTGCAATTGGGCGTAGAATGTTTGTGAACGAAAACGTTAAAAGTTTTTGCTAAAGCTTCTGCCTTTATTGAATATCTTGGTTTTCGACAGGAAGGGAAGCTGTTACTGATAGGTCAGAAAAAGTCTTCCGTAGCAGAACACGAGATCAGTGAAATTGATTTGGAGTCGAAGGTGCCATCGGGAGAGGGTTCTGCATTCGGTGCAAAGGCAGAATAATGCACCCTAATCTCTTGCATCAGAGCTTTGTCCCTAGTGTAAGAAACGGTGGTTACATCAACAACAGGGCCGAGGTTTTGACTACGCATGCGAAACTTGCGGCATGAGTCGGACTCCATAGCTCACGGTCGGCACGAGACAACTTCACTATCTCGTCAAAGCTTTGACTCGAAGCTCTTTAATGTGGAGCCATAAAAGTTCTACTCTGTTCAAAAAAACGAACCTTCTTACGGTGTTACCAAAAGGTTGGTTGCAAATTTCTTTCTGCCATGCTCTTGCAAGTTTGCTGAAGTTTCGTTTCTAGGCAAATGTGGTGGTGGTACATGTCGATAAAGTTACTATACTGGAGTTGGAGTGACTTTACTCGTGGGAAACTTGAAATGCTTTCCTCATGATATGATTTTGACCTACTTCGATCGGGATCCAATGCAGGCCTAAGGATCTAGTACAAGGGCACGACGCAGAAAGTTTTGCAAAGTCGGAGGTCAATGTACATTGAGAAATATCCAAAATTTTCAATAAAGAGCCAAGGATTTATGCTTTGGACTTGGGCTACCACTTTGGGAGTACAATTCCTATACTGTCAAATGATGTAGAAATATTCAGTGAAAATTTCGGGACATCAGTTGTACTTGCAGTTGTCGAGCACGGTGACGACTAGGCTTGGCAAATGGAAAAACCCAAGGCTACGGTGTTACCGTATGTTAATCTGCCATGCGGCGGCAAACGGACACTCCCGCGGAAGGGATTTTTCATTCGATCTCTTGTCAACGCCGAGCAAATTCACGCAATCATCATCTGACCACTCCCTCTCGTCTCGTCACCACATGGCAACCTCTCGGCGCCGGAAGTATTGAATTCCGAAAAGCTGCGGTGAGCTTCTTGGCACTGCAGCCAAGAAACGCAACGGGGTTCGGAGGCCGAAAGACGCCCCGGCGCGCGCGAGTCCGTTCATCTCTCACGAACATGTTTGAGTGCACTGGAGGCGAGAAGATGCTATCGCCAATGGAGTCTCGAGCGAGCGAGCACACGAAGCACGTCCTGGGTGGCAACAACTGCAGGCCCGAAGAGAACACGGGCCAAGCTTGGCACGAGCGAAGGCGAGTTCGAGCCTCGCGAGATCTCTCGCCTCAGACGCATTTGATGCCCTGAATATATATGGCAAGGAATCCAAGACCAGAGGCCAGAGGTCCAGGCCGGGAAACCTGCGCCAGCGCCTGCCAAGCCTGCCTGTAGGTAGGTTCGGTTCGGTTCGGTGCAGGAGGTTCAGAGCCAGGGCAGGGCCATAGCATGGTTGGGGTTGGGGTAGAGGAGGAGGAGGGAGTGTAGCATGGGAAGTGGCATGGCATCATCATCCGCGAGCGGCTCGCCTGGAAAGCGTCCACCTGGCCCCCACCCCATCCACATCTGCGACAGGCACATGCACCATGGCCATCGCGACATTCAAATATGGCTCCGCATAGGCCAATGGATTATGGCCAAAGTGGCAGCCGACAAACAAGATTCGCGCGCAACACCAACCGTCCGTCCGTTCACTCACTCCCTCCCCTCCCTCGTCCGTCCTCCGTCCTCGATCCTCTCCGTCCCGTCCGTCCCCGCCCGTTCAGTTCATGCGTACTTTCCTCTAAACCTCCCCCCTCGCCTGCCTGCGACGCCATCATTATTTACTTCGCCCTCGCGTCTCTTTCAACTTCCTAGATTTTTTTCACCTGCCCTGCCCGCGCTGCCCGGCCGGGTCGCTCTCACTGTACTGTCAGGGCCGGGCAAGAGGCCTTTCCTTTTCGAGCCAGCGCTCCATACATAACAGACAATACTTTGTCCGATATGCGTATTGTATTGAGGTGTACCATTCATGTGCCTGAGCCATTTGGCAACGGATGGAATGGCGGCATTGGTTCCTGTGTAGCAGCACAGCGTACAAGACAAAAAAAATAATGAAAATAGAATGATATATCATACTCTGCCTATGACCTTTTCTACCCTTTTCTGTCCTACGTTTCGCAGCATTTTTTTCCTCACAAAATAATGAGCAGACGGCTCTTTCTCCTTGTCACTTGTAGTCCTAGGTTGCAAGTCATGAGACACTACCACATCTTACCCTGCTGCTCCTTTTCCCTTCACCTTTGCCAACCTACCCTGATACGATTTTTTATTATTATATATGTCATTGGGCTGATTTTTTTTTCTTCTTAGTTTTCTCAAAGCGGTTTTCGACTTTTGACCATCAAAAGCATTTTGTGTGCTATCCTTCTCCCTACTTCGACGTTAGGGTGAGTAGATATGCACTTTCACATTTTGGACTAGGGAGCAAAACATAACAAATGACCATAGGTGAGATGAATATCCAACCCCGAGCAGGTCCTCGAAGAAATCTACGGAATAAAATATCTCCTTTACCGTCTACATACATCATCGTCCTTATCATAGGATGTCTAAAGCAGATGTATACGGCAAGCTACGCACCAGTTAAGAGTTGTTCATGCGGTTAGTAGTAATAGTTATCCTACGTGCTAGCCACACACCCTAATATCCAAACTTTTACTAGGCTATATTTCTTTTGCATGATTGCCTCCCTACAAGCAATAATTTTAAAAACAAAAACCTAGATGATGGAGTGTTTCTTCCTGTAACAAAGTTTCGGGAAAAAAACTACGCGAACCTTCTTTCCATCCTTCAATTTCTCCGGGAATCAATGTTATATACTCCAATTACTATCGCTCGATCTTCTTTACTAAAATCAAACGAAATTCTCCATTAAAGATTTTTTCACTATGAAAATTGCACAGAATCCTAGATTTCGTAGTCTCTTATGTTTTGTACAGTGCATCGAATTCAGTTTTGACCACTAAAAAACGAAAATAGTCCCCAATTTCTTAATATTTTGGAAATATGTGCATCGTAACACAAATGTATAGATGACTTCACCATGTCCTTTCAACATAAAACTTTCTCCATGTTCCAGTGATTGTGATCGTTCATGTTTTCTTCAGCTATCCAGTGTCCAATATGGGACATCATCAGGCAATAGAACACTTTCCTCAATTGGATGATTTCTGTAACATGAACATAAGGTAATTTGTGGTCGTTGAGTACTAAGAGGTGTACGAAAGAATCAATTATCCCAAGTTTTATGAATGAACTACGACGAGCATTCCCGGCGTAAATACGATTGTAATATCACTGTTTACAGGAAGTACATTCGTAATCTCGAACAGGTAATGAAGCAGTTCATTTGTTCGACCACATGAAGATAAGGTTATTCTCTACGGAGGTAGGAATTACTTTCACCGAAAACGGAATATCATAAATAGGGGGGGGGGGGGGGGAATTCTTGGGACTCAAATTGAAGTCTACAAACATCGCACGATCTTATTTGGTTATCCAATGGTTATCCAAATCTTTAGACATTCCATTCAACTCCATCACATCTAGATGGGATCCAGTAATAAAGAAGCCCAAATCCAAGTGGTCGCCGTATAGATAGAAATGCAAATACATTCCTTCGTATAATGTCCAAAATGGAAGAGTCAAGATTTCATTCCCATGTGACCGAATGAATGTTAGGTGCCGAGAAGTTATTGTGGAAAGCCTATATCTTGCTCGCCTGCCTACATCTTGCTGCGAGCGAGCGAGCGAGCGAGCGATGGAGGGCAAGAGAAGAAGGAGGAGAAGAACATGAAGGCGCGAGGACGCTGGACTCACCGCTGGGCAGCCGAGAAGAAACACCGGAAGCGCATGTCGATTCACTCCGAGCAGTAGTAGTCACTAGTCCGGGGGGCGGTAGAGAGCGAAGTAGGTGATACGGTGCGGCAAGAGCCCGTCCAGAGTCTACGATCGATCAGGCGCAGAGAGGGATCGACTTCTTCTTCTCGTGGGTCGGGTTCAGGCAAGGGCAGATGCAAAACATGATTAGAGAAAACCCCTACACGAGGATCTCCTTTGGAGGTAAAGACCTCCATGTTTTTCATACCCGGAGCGCGAGAGCGAGAGAATGCGCTTGGCATCATTCGTCATCTGTAGGCGAGCGAGAGCGAGGGGCTACGGTACACAGAAGAGCAGCGGAAGGAAATTGAGCCCAATGATACACACCTGACTGACCTCTCTCTTGACGCGACTGTCAGGCCCTTGCAGCACACCTTGGGCCGTTTGCTTGGGGCTGGGCTGGGCTTCGGCTCGCTCGCTCGCTCGATTGCTTGCTGCCTGTTGTGTGCCTGCCTCCTGGGCCCTGCTGCTGCTAGTTTATTCTGGATTTTCCGCTTCCTCCTTCGCTGCCTGTCTGCGACTCTGCTCACCTGCCCGATGCCTGCCCCCCGTCCCGAGCCCCGTACCAGCCCAGTGTCATATGGCGATATTATATATGGGGCAAGCGAAGGGGGGGAGCGGGAGGGGGAGGGGGGAGAGGTTGACATTCGGTATAGAGAAGGGGGGAGTCGGCACAGGAGGGCGAGGAGCTTCTCTCGTACTCATGTGTATGTCGGGGGCTAATATATACGAGGAGCGAGCGAGCGTCAGTTGCCGGTGGGAGAATTCGAGGAGCCGGTGGCCAGGGGAGACGGGTGGCACAGAGCGCCACAGGCGGAGAGATATCGCGGGATGGCGCGGCGACACGTGGCAGGGGCGGGGCCCGAGCCGCCTTCATTCAAAGCTGTGAAACCGGCTGGATCGGTGGGATCTCGGCTTTGATTGATTGCGCGGGAATGGGCTCGGCTTGCCGGGAGTTGGACAACAGCACGAGACGCATCGGGTAGGGGGCGAGGCGAGGGGGAAGATGCGCGTACCCTAGCCCTGCCCCGCCCTCGCTAGGCTCTGCCCCCCGCACAGCCTAGCCTAGCCTAGCCTAGCCCAGCCCAGCCACCAGGCTGCGATTTCTTCCGTTCCATGCTTCCTTCCGTCTTGCGCCTTTGCTTGCTTCGATTCGATGCTGGCTGAGGGGCAGGGGCAGGGGCAGGGCGACGGGGTCGACGGGCGCCTGTACTGTCCTTGCCCGAGCAAGCACTCACTCACTCACTCTCTGCTCTCGGAGACCAGTCACCTCATGTGAGTGCCTCCTCCTCCTCTTGGCCCTGCCCCTCGCAAACACTCTGCCACCCTTGCTACTGGCGTAGCTCGTTCGCTAGCCGATTTAGCCTAGGGGGGCTAGGCCCGCTAGGGTGGCATCTAGGATGGGAAGGGCCGGTTACTTACTTTTAAAAATAAAATCCTCTCATCCAAACGGATTCCCAGCCCGACCGACAAAGCGAGCACCGGCCCGATTCCTCCTGCGCTTATTTTTTTCCTCGCCCTTTGGCTGCGCAGGCAACAAAACGGTAAATGCGAAGCCAAACGGAACGAACAGAGTCGAACTGGGCCTACGACTGCTGTACCTAGCCTACCGATCTATATCTATCCGGGGCTTCCCCCTGGCCCTCCCCCCTCGCTCTCTCGCTCTCACTCGTCGGGGGTTTGTTTGAATTCACGGTGGACGGCTCGCGGGATGCCAGTCGCAGGGATTCCGGATCGACGACGAGGGAGCGGGCGATGATTTGGTACGCTGTTTTGAGCCGTGCGATGCGAGAGACTTCTCACGTGCCGGGGGCTTTTGTTATGGAGTGAGTCGCACTAACTACCAGCGGCGACCCGAGTGTAACTTCCGGGCGGGGCGGGGCGGGGCGGGGGTCGGGGGTAGAGGGTTAAGAACGTAACGCGCGGGGGGCAGCCGAGGATTGTGTGCCACGATGGTATTGGTGCCGCACAGGCCCGGCCACTTTGAACGTCGCCATCTACAGTCAAACCCTAATTCTTTCCCTTCTGAGTAGACTTCCCTTGGCTAGGGCAGGGCCGGGCCAACGGATATGTATGAAGAGGAAGAAGGAAGGGGAAGGGGGAAGGGGGAAGGGGGTGCTCCTGCAGCAGACGGGGTCAGGCAGGCAGGCAGAGGGGGGCAGGGGCAGGGCAGGGGGGGCAGGGCAAAGGAGGCTGCTGGCTGGGCAGCAGCGCAGGATTTTGCTGTGAGGTGATGTGCTGTGCTGTGCTTTGCTGTGCTGGGTGCGATGCGGAATGTTAATCATAATTATTACAGTAACTATAATTGCGAAGAGAACGATGAGACGAGATGATACCGAAGCAGAGCAGAGCAGAGCAGAGCAGCGCCAGGAGCAAGGGGGGCAGGGCCAGGCAGAGGGCTGAGCCAAGAGTCTGGTCGGAGGAGGCCGGAGGAAGATTCGTGATTCTGGTGGCGAGACGAGCCGATCGGAGCGAGCGAGCGAGGGGGCGGAGTGGGGAGGGAGAGGGCGAGGGCGAGGAGGAGGAGGAGGAGGAGGCCATCGAATAGAATAGAGTATCGCCATCGCCTCATACACTTGGCCTTTTGGGCCCAGCCGTTGACCAGCCTCATTACGTGTATTAAAAATCGTACCCTTCGATTTGGCTTTGGGCGCAAATAATCATATTAATGTATGGTCCAGTATGGACGATGACATTGCGAAAGTGTGCTGCCGCGCTGTCGGAGGACGTCAGTCAGCAGGCCCGTCGACTGGGCGCGCTTTTCGAGGCCGCGCGCAGCCGCTTTTTTCCTTACCGGCAAAGCGCTGAAGAACCAAAGGGAATCGGTATGCGCTTTAGCCCGCGATCGTCGCCGAGCCCCCTGGCTCCTCCCCCCGACATCACCCCATCATCCATCTATCTGGCGTCGTCGTCGTCGTCGTCGTCGCCTTGTCTTGCGTAAAAGCTGAAAGCATCGCTCCTCATCGATCCAATACACCACCCCCCTCCCCTCTCCTTCCCTGACCCCTCCTCCCCCATCCTCTTCCCCACCTCCTCCTCCTCCTCCTCCTGCTCCTCCATCTAAGCGACGACATCGTCTCTACTCTTTCTCTCATCCTCCTCGTCCGTCGTCTTCGTCGTAATGGGCGTGGCGTGAGTGGAAGAGCCAGCGAGCAAGAGGGTGCGTACTTGTACGCAACGCAACACAAGGCCGCGCTACTGTGCCTGGCGATACTCTTCGCTGCTGCTAGCGGTGGCTGCTCTCGAGTCCACTGTTCGAGCCAAGTACATTTCACACATGGTGTGAGGGGAGGGGAGGGGAGGGGGAGTTATTCTGTCGTATTATGTCGGTGGAAGCTAGGCAGGCCGAGGATTTATGTCGCTCCTCCCAGAGCAGAGCTCAGCCGCGCAGCTGAGCAGCAGCAGCAGCACTTTTATGCCTTGTGACAATAATTCTGCGTGATGTTCTTCGCCCTTCTCCATTTTCCGAGCCCGAACGAGTTCGCGGATTCGTCTGCTCTGCGCTCTCAATGTGTCTATCCGCCCTCCTCCTCTAGCTGCGGACGAGGAGGAGAAGGGGGTCGGGGTGGGTCGTACCGATCTGTACGAATGGAATGGCTTGAATGAATGTCGTAAGGATAGGAGCGAAGCAGTGAAGAGAGAGAGAGAGAGAGAGTGAAATTCTGTGAAGTGAGCGAAGGGGATCCCCATCATAGCATGGGATGAGGATCGGATGAGATGGGGATCATCATCCGGAAGAGATCGGAGATTACACTTTCTCTCGTAAGTAGTTATTGATGGGGAGTTGACAAGGAGACCTCATCAAAGCGGGTACAGCTGCTACAGCATCGATCCCGACTGCTCTGATTCTTTGTCCATAAGTTAAGATAAGCCGCTTTTCCCAAATCGCAACAAATCAGTCTCATCTCAAATCGTTGATTACGCTGTCTGGGATTCCTCAACCCGACCCGCAGGAGACCCCCCCCCCCCCCCTCCCTCAACTCATCAAATCGGTACGACGAGCCCCGCAATTTATGACCTTCTGGCATCTCCCATTCAATTTGGGCCCCGCCCCCACCCCGAGATCATTCCACCCATCGCGAACCCTCATGGCCATTCGCTATCCCGCCCGGCAAATCCAAATCTTTGCCAACGGTCAAAGTAGTCGGACGTTCGTCCCGTCGTTCGTGCTCGCTGTATTGTTCGCCCCCCGCCCCCAGCCCCTCGGCCCCGAGCCCCACCCCCCGCCCCTTAGCCCAACCCCCAACCCCCACCCCCCACCCTCCTCGCACTGGCTTGGCACATGTAGTAGTAAGTGGCGACCGTGTTAGTGCCAACGCGGGCAGTACCATCGAGTAACTACTGCGCTGCGAGGGGGTAGGGGGTATGCCTACCAGCGAGCATGAGCGTGGTATAAGGCAGGCCATGACGGGATTCCTCATATAAGTAATCGGACACGTCGTAATAGTACTTACGCTCGTACTTAAGAGAGATGTGAGGTGGAGGAGGGTGGTGGAGGACGTTCGTTTGTGTGTTGACTGACCGGCGATTAGCAACCGAACTGATTAGTAAGCGTCAATAATTTTGTCAACTATTTTGGTTTTGGAGCACGCGGCTTTAAATGCGCCGATTTATCTCACGCACGAGGACCAAGGACGCTCTCGCCCTGCCCCCCTCGCCCTTTTTTATTCATTTATGGGCTTCCTTTCTTTCAAAATATACCCTCGCGGCCTGACTTGGCGGAGATCGGCCCAGCAGGCCCCAGAGAGAACTGAACTGAACTCCGCTGCCCCTGCCCCCCCCTGCGCCCTGGGCCTGGCCACACTGGCCTCGCTCCGTTGCGCCCTTTCTCTCTGTTCTATCCACATCTCTCTCTCTCTCTCTCTCTCTCTCCCCCTCTCTCTGTCTGTCTCCCTCCCTCGCGATGCCCTCTCATCGCATCACTCGTACGATCGATACATCGACCAGAGATACAAGTACGAATCGTATAATCGTGTCGGAACATACACGCACATCGGACTCCGTTGTGGGTGCCGTGATTACTTTTTCAATAAACCCTCATTATCTCCTTGTGTCAACCCCTCGTAATGAATCCGCCACCACCACCATCCTACCACCGGAGGTCTACTACTGCTGCTACTACTACTACTCACCACCAACTGCCCCCAGTTGCACTTTCATGCGCCTGCCCCTCCTTCGGGCCGAGCCGGAGGCGGGGCCGAGCCTGGCCGACCTCCTCCCTTCGTCCCATGCATATTCCTTCTACATGGATGTACTTCTGTCACTCTATCTCCTTTTCTCTCTCTCTCTCTCTCTCTCTCTCAACAGCACAATCAAAAGGGCTCTTCAGGAGTATACCATTTACTTGCCCGATCGACACGTACACCGGGGCCGCTATGCTGCTCTCGACTCGACTCAGGATCTGAACTCAACTCGCGACTCCACTCGACCCGACTCGACTCAAGCACATACACCTACAGTATCTAATCCCATGTCCTGGCCACACACTTAATGCCAGCCCTGTCGGTCTGTCTGTCTGGACAATTTTCTAGTTGTATGTACGATGCCTCGAAAGTTTCTACCAACTAGTTGTTAAATTGCCACCTCTGGTATAACAATTTAATCATTCTTGACCTCCTCCTAGCCAGCCAGCCGGCCAGCCAGCCAGCCTCCCGATGCACGGACCGCCTCTGCAGGTCGACCTTCAAGCTCTAGACGACACAACATTATGGTTAAAAAACTGAGCCAGACTACGAGATGGATTTGGAACATTATGACATACAGCATACATACAAAGTTGCTCGTCGCTCTTGTGTACGATGCGCGAGACGAAATTCAGCATACAGGACATGGTAGCCAACTGGTTGCCCCTGGCCCATTTGTTCTTTCACCTGAATGAAACACTCCACCGTTCCAGACCCAGAAGCAGGTTGGACATTGCAGGTTTGGGCCCCCTTCGAAAAGTGCTCCTGTTACTTCTACCACGCATCACTAATCTGGCTCGCCTCTTGACTGCGCTCCTTCGTTTCCTCTGTACTTCATTCTGTATATTATCAAGTATATCTCCGAATGTCAGGTCGTCGTACGAGCTGGGCTCAGCCAGCCCCGCTCACCTCAGCTCCGCTCGGCTCCGACGCTCACAGGCAGCAGTACCACCAGCGATAGCTCGACTCTTGCTCGAAATCAAACTCGGCCTCCGGTTGACTCGTAGCACTGCTCTCGCTAGCGAATGTAGCTCCATCTTTCTTGCCTTGCTTCCTTCCTTCCGTCCGTCCGTCCGTCCTTGCTTCCTGGCT